CACCGGTCTTCTTTAGCTTTTCAATCAAATTCTTTTAAAGAAAAAATATTTTGCGTGAAAAAACGCATTTTCTTTTTTCCCTTCCGCGAGAGGCACGGTTTTGCTTTCGCGAGAGTCACGGTCATGCCTCTCGAAAACAAAAAATACGCGTTTTCTGTTTTGTTTCTTTCGCGAGAGTCACGGTTTTGCTTCCGCGAGAGGCACGTGTGTGCTTTCGCGAGAGTCACGGCCGTGTCTCTCGGAAACGAAAAAAACATGTTTTCTATTTTTTTCGCAAGAGTCACGGTTTTGCTTCCGCAAGAAGTATGGTTGTGCTTTCGCGAGAGTCGCGGTCGTGCCTCTCGGAAAGGAAAAAAAACGTGTTTTCTGTTTTTTCCTTTCGCAAGAGTCACGGCTTTGTTTTCGCAAAAGTCACCGTTGTGCTTTCACGAGAGTCACGGCCATGCCTCCTCGGGAACGAAAAAAACGCGTTTTTTCTCTTTTTTTTCTTCCGCGAGAGTTACGGTTTTGCTTCCGCGAGAGGCACGGGTGTGATTTCATGAGAGGCATGGGCGTGCCTCTTTCGGAAAAGGAAAAAACTGGTGCTCCCGGTTCAGTTTTTTCGTGAAAAAGGTTCGTCAAAACCTATCAACATGGAATCTAGTTTTGAATATCTCGATGCGAGGAATCCAACGATGAAAACGGTTCGAGATTTGGATGCACAGTTTAAGAGATAAAACGTTTTAAATAAATGGATCTACAAAAAAAAAGAAAACTCCCAGGTTCCGACAAGTGACGCACTGCATGTGCGCCACTTGTTGTAACAAAAAAAATTGAAATGATCTTTGCAACAAGTACTCATTAATTAGTGATTTCACTGGATAGACGAGGCCCGGGATCGATGAGCGGGAAGCGGCTGCGAGGCCAGACCGATAGGAGAGCTCCTATTTGCCGCCCGCTGGCGGCAAATGATGGAGCCTTCGTTGAAGGCATAGGAAATGGGCCGGCCCATTAGGAGGTAAATGAGCTCTAGACAAGTAAAAAAGAAATGGCGAAATCACTAATTAAGGAATACTTTTTTCAAAAATCACTCTCACCTTTTCAGGTTGCGACAAGTGCTGCACTGCATGCACGTCACTTGTCGTAACCTATGAGTTTTTCCTTTTTTTTCTATATCTGTTTATTTAAAATATTTTATCTCTTAAACCATGCATCTAAATCTCGGACCGTTTTGACCATTCGATTTCTCGCGTCGAGATCTTCAAAATTAGGTAGCATGTTGATAGATTTTGATGAACTTTTTTTCCACAAAAAAACCAAACTAGGAGCACGTTTTTTCCCTTTCCGAAAGAGGCTCGACCATGCCTCTCGCGGAAGGAAGAAAAAAAATAGAAAATATTTTTTTCATTTCCGAGAGGCACGGCTATGCCTCTCGCGAAAGTACAACTGTGCCTCTCGCGGAAGGAAAAATAATAGAAAACATGTTTTTTTTTCGTTTTCAAGAGGAACAGTTGTGTCTCTTGCGAAAGCACAACCGTGTCTCTCGCAAAAAAATAGAAAATGTGTTTTTCTCTTTTTTCGAGGCATGACCATGCCTCTCGCGGAAGCAAAATCATGCCTCTCGCGGAAGAAGGAGAAAAAATTCACGTAAAAAAATTGTTTTTTTGAATTTTTTTAATCCAAAAGATAAGAAAGACCGATGGAAAATCAAAAGGTGAAAAAAAAACCCCAAAAAACGGTTTTAAAAGATGAAAAAGCGTGCGAAATTTTTTCCGAGTGAACGCCCAGAGCATGACACGTGGCCGCTCTCAGCCAATCCATAAGTGATCGTTGGGAGGCTCAGAAAGGAGCGCTCGCCAACTAGTTGCTCCCACGAGCAAGTTATGCGCGAGCCAGACCTTGAACTCACAACCTCCTTCACGTGGGAGAGTGTTTCTTACCAATCGAGCTAGTGAGTTCTAGTGCTAAAGTAGAGTCTCAAGTATTTACCTATCGTAATCTTTTGAAAATTTTCAAAAAATATACATTGAATATTTTTTAATATACGTTGAACATTTTAAATAATACACGATGAACCTTTTTTAATGTATGATGAACATTTTTTAAACAATATGAAGACATGAGTTGAACAATTTTTGAATATGCATCAAATATTTAGTAAAAAAGTTGAACAATTCTGTAATATACGATGAACATTTTTGTAATACGCAAAAAACATTTTTCTAAATATGACAAACATTTTGTAAAACACGGTGAACTTTTTACATAATACGCAATAAAGAGAAGAAAATAGAAAAAGAAACAGAAACATGTTTAAAAGAAACATAAAAGGAAAAAGAAACCAAATAATAATAGAAAAAGAAAAAACCTGAACAAAACAACTGAAACCGGACAAAACAGTGAAAAACTGGAAGCAAAAAACCGTAGAAGAAAAACAAAAAGAAAACCCGAAGGAAACAACAGTGAAAGAAAACGGCACAGAAAATCTGTACGTGGGCCGGCCCGAATGGCGACTCGCTTCAGCGAAGCCGCAGTTCCTGGACACACACGCGTGGATCCATCTAGTCCGGCGGCGCCGTCCGGATGCCCTGAGTCCACAAGGGCTGCTATCAAAACCATCCTACAAATCCCCAATGAGCAATTGAATGAGAAATATCTTGGCATGCCTTCTGATGTTGAGAGTTCAAAGAATGGTGCTTTTAAATACCTAAAAGATAGGCTATGGAACAAGATACAAGGGTGGATGGAGAAACTTCTCTCAGCGGCTGGAAAGGATGTGCTCATAAAATCAGTAACCCAAGCCATTCCGGTGTTTTCAATGTCTTGTTTCAAGCTTTCTAGGGGTTTATGCCAGCAACTAACATCAATGATAAAAGCATTTTGGTGGGGAAGTAAGCAAGGTCAGAGAAAACCCTATTGGGTGTCATGGGACTCTATGAGCATGCCGAAGTATATGGGGGGGGGGCGGCTAGGCTTCCGTGACTTTGAAATTTTCAACTTGGCGCTTCTGGCAAGGCAAGTGTGGAGGGTTCTAGAAAACCCTAGTTCACTCAGTGCTAGAATTCTTAAAGCGGTGTATTTTCCGGAGAGTGAGCTCTTGACAACCAATCTTGGTGGTCATCCTTCTCAGATATGGAGGGCTTGATAGAGGGTCATGACATCCTGAAGATTGGACTCGTTCGGAGGATAGGCAATGGAAACACAAGTCATATTTGGGATATGAACTGGCTACCTAGGAGGGAAAATATGAGGCTCATTGTTGCTTTAAAAACTGATCCACCTTAGATGGTGGCGGAGCTGATTGATCGAGATAATGCATGCTAGAACACAACATTGCTCAGCTAGGTTTTCTTACCATATGATATAACAACTATTCTGAATGTGCCAATATGTACAAGAAACATGGAAGATTTCTGGTCATGGGGTTTTGAAAAGAATGGAATTTTCTCCATTCGCTCTGCCTACAGGATGATTGCGGGCATAAAGAGGAGGCGTGAGGACTGGCTGGAAGGACGAGGGGGATCCTCTAATTCGGCAGCAAACGAGAAGGCATGGGATACATTATGGAAAGTGCAGGTTCCAGCAAAGCTGAAAAATTTTCTTTGGAGACTGGCCAAAAACTCGCTACCTACTGAAGATGTTAGAAAGAACAGGAAAATGTCACACCATGATCAATGCTACGCATGTGGAGCTTAGGACTCATGGAGACATAGTCTTCTCGAGTGCACAATGGCACAATGTGTTTGGTCTCTTGTAGACCATAATTTGCTGGACTACTTGATTGCTACATCAGAGCCTTCAGCACGAGCATGGCTGTTTTCCATGATGGAATATCTAGACCATGAACAATTGACAAGGTTGACAGTTACCATGTGGACAATTTGGTATGCTTGTAGACAACTTATCCATGAGGGAATACACCAAAGCCCATATGAGACACACAGGTTTGTGCTTAATTTCATATCTGACCTAGACCGGTTAGCGTTGGTGTCAGAGACACAACGCAGGACAGTTCAACCACATGCTAGGCAGGCTTTCAAGTGGTTTCCACCACCAGAGGGATGTGTGGAAATCAATGTGGAAGCCAGAGTTTCGGCAGCGGCCTTCTGTCGCGACCGGGACGGAGCTTACCTGGGTTCCTCCATGCTGGTAATTGAGGGGTTAAAGGATCCTACTACGGTTGAGACAATCGCATGCAGAGAGGGCATGTCTTTGGCACTGGATCTGGGAATGAATCATCTCCAGATCGCTTCTGACTGTAAGCAGGTGGTAAACCATATCCATCAAAGAGCTGAAGGAGATCATGGTATTATCATCAAAGAGATCCTGCAAACTTCTACCTTATTTATGTCTTGTAATTTTTCGTTTGAACCTCGAGTCGAATTATGAGGCTCATAGGCTTGCTAGGTTTGGTGTTTCGTTCCCTCTTGGAAGGCATTTGTGGTTGGGCATTCCGCATGACCCAATTGTAATTCCTATGAACGTTTTAGGTACTCAATAAAAGCCTGGCGAGCTTTTCTAAAAAAAAACTAATCCGACGGCCGTCTGTCCGTCCAGAAACAAAATTGCTATGATTGCCATTTCTCAAAAAAAAAAAAATGCTATGATTGCCAGCGCCCGGTTCCAACGAAGAAAAAGAAACGCAATAGCCCGTTCAGTACAGTACAGCGCATTTGCGCCACGTGAACCTCCACGGGCGATCCGCGGCACATGCACAGGCGATCGCACGCACGGCGCGCCCAATCAGAGGCGCCGGCGACCCTGTAAACGAATCTCATGGACCCGGGAAGCGAATCTCATCGAATCCGGGCCGAACCGCAGCGAACCGATCAGAGATCACAGGCCCGTCCCCGTGGGACTCGATCGCCAGCAGCAGACAGTAGTACTAGTAGACCCCGTCCTATATAAGGCCTGGCTACCGGCGGAAATGGCTAGAAGGCACGCTCAGGAAACATCATTGCAGAGAGCTAGCTGTCATTTGTCCGTGTCGGGCTACGAGCGAGCTTCGTCGCCGGCCAGCCATGGCGTGGTGGTGCGAGAGGGTCGTCGCGCCGGTGCGGCGGGCCTGGCTCGCCGTGGCGCGGCGGGCGCGGAACCGCAGTAAGTGCAGCTACCTAGCGCCCAGCAAATCAACCTCCATCGTTTCTGCAACGAGTTTATCTCTGAATTAACTTACGCATCCCTTGGTTTGGTTAGCATGGCTTCTTGATATATCGAGCGTGCGATTAGTTCCTCTATCGACCCCAATAAAGGGAAGACTTGCACTCCCTCCGTTTCGAAATACAATTGCCGTGGTTTTAGTTCAAGTATTTTGAAACGGAGGGAGTAATTACGAAATGATTACGGTTGCTGCACTTTGTATACCATAGTTCTTATAAAATTACAGTAGCAGTAGTAGTATATGTTTTCCCAAGATATAAATAGACAAATGTGCCAAGGAAAGAACAGGTCCGTGCATAAAGTAAAATCAAAGGGCGAGCATTACAATGCTGCTGGTACTAAACCTATGCTGCCTTTGCTTCTGACGACCTATTTGGACATATACATAGTACTCCGACCAGGCCGATGAAGAGGTTTTTTATAGACTATCCAGTGTTTGGGTACTTTGAATTTCTCATCTTATTATTTTTGCTAGCCAAATGTAGTCTTACAGAACTAGGAGTCACACATTTTCTACTAGTAGTAAACAACACTAATCATTTCTGTCGGCAAACCGGGCGCAGGGAGCACAGGGGTGGTGGACCTGCACAGGGACGTGCAAACCTGCGGATACGACGATGTTCAGGTGATGTGGAACATGCTGAGCTCGGAGAAACATGCCCTCGGCCACAGGCCGGCGGCGCCTGAGAAGCCGCCGCGACGGCGGGCCTTGTTCTGGAGGGCGTCGTTCTGGAACGTCGGAAAATGCGTGGCGCGGTGAGCCCCGCGACTGAATTCTGGCGTGGATAGCGGCGACACTGTCGCCATCTAATAATCTCCAATAAACCTGCTGCTACCATCTGGTGAGATGTACAAAGAATGATGTTCACCTGTAAGATGTTAGATGGGGGTGGGAAGAATGGGTCAGGGGCATCTCGCCTGCTGGCTTCTGCTGTTTGTATTGCTTTCCCTGCTTTGTTGTGGAATGAATCAAAGGCGGCAGACTGTGGCTTAATCCGTGTGAAGATGCTACAAATTTCAAGCTCCGATCTTGTGTGCTTGTGGCATGGAATAAGCATCCAATGTCCCATGCTAATGTCCAAGTAAAGTGGGGCAAATGATCCAAAATAACAAAAAAAAAATTAAAACACACAGATACCTCCTCCGCCCATTATTATAAAATGTTTTAACTTTTTTCTGAATCAGATATATGTAGACACGTTTTAGTGTGTTTGTTCACCATTTCAGTCCGTATATAACCGTATTCAAATATCCAAACCTCTTATAATAGTGAACGGAGGGAGTATTACACACCATACGGGTAAAGTGCTGCAATATGACACGAGACAACTCAAAATTGACACCATACTATTTGTGCAGTTTCAAATCAGCCTCCTATAATAGGGCAAAAAAAAGGTGTAATGTAAAGCGACTGATTATGAATGTACATAAAGTCCCTAAAGATAGACAAAAATTCTCCATCTCCTTTAAATCACGATGGAGATTTCAACTCCAGTGCTGCTCCAGAAAAACCACAGGCTACTTTGGAATTGTACACAAAAAAGAAAGCTGGAAGTTGGATGAAGAACATTCAGATTATCTTATTGACACTGAAGAGACTTCCTGCAGCCAAAGAAAAGTGAACATTAGACAAGCGCAGAATTTCTTTAACAAAAACTATTTTGGTGCAAGCCAAACAGCTAATACTGGTTCAACCCACAAGGCATCTTTTTATAACTGTATGAATCAAAACTGCTGATATGCAAATCAAACTCGGACCCTAAGTTCTCGCGAACACCATGATAAAAGGCATGTTGTTCACCAAAATTGGAAATATATATTATTAAAGATGTGCAAATCATTCTTCAGCCGTATTCTCTGCAATAACAAACTATCATTTGCAGGAGCGCTGGCAAAATGACAATACTAAGTTCTGCTAGGATAAAATACTTGATATGAGAGATACTTGATTCCATTCTTAAAACTATTTCAATTACTGCGCTAAAAACTAGTAAAATTCATTTTAAAACATACTCAAGCATTCACTATCCAGTCATGAATTATTCTGTAGCAACCGGCCCATCATAATATTTCGTAAATGGAGTTCATGAATAATAAAAGTAAGCAGGTGAAGTACATGCAATGATTTAAGCTTAAAGTTCAGAACAGACTACGCTAGGCAATACCACAGAACACTTACATAGCATTTCAACCACCAAAAGATCTAGATACGTTGCATCTGTTGAATCATTTCAGGATCCAACAGTCCACTGCTGTAACTGGATGGCACAGGGGAAATCTCCTGCCTTCCTTGCCACTCTTCACCAGGCCTTAAAGTAATTGGCTTCTCAATACGTGCAGCCCCTACACACAGCATGCACTTGTACTCCTCGGCACCAAAATCTGGCATTGCTTTTGCTTTCCTGTCCCATGGGTTCCAAACAACTGCAAGCAAAGGATATATAGCGATGACACACCACAAAAAACAACTCGACCAACCAGGCACTAGCACCTGGTGGCATTGTTTAGAGAAAAACAACCTGGCACCAGTCACTGCACGGCGCAGAATACATTCTGCCTCATGCAGAGTCGAACTCTGGTGAGCGGATTGGCACTGGCACATGCCCACCAACCGAGCATTTAACGACGACAGACCATGGAAGTAAACAAAATCAAATGCCAAAGTAACCACTCATGTTTCCATAGTATGGAGTATGCTCAATTTAGAAAGAAAAATGAAGCTAACTCACCAACATCAGGAAGTTCCTTTTTCCTTAATACGAATGTCCTTTTTTTCTCATGGTCAATTGTCACAATCTTGGGTGGGGCACTTAGATATATCCTGTCCACCTTCATAATCAACGTTCAACACAGTTAGTGCCTTACCACAGTGGCCCCACAATATGAAGCATATACAAAGCTTACTTCAGATTCGAATACAACTGCATCGCCTTGTTCAGTACAACGAATCTTAGATTGCAGATTATCATGATAGTCCAAGGTATCCAAACCCTCAACCCGTACTTCGCTGGAATGTGAAACACATGCTTCAGAGAACAAAGTATTAAATCCTAAAATAGTGCCTAAGTAAAAAAAAATGTGTAATAGCCAAGTTGTTCATTCGCAAGTGTATCTATTCTGCAATTGAAATAGTGCCGAAGTATTGAATCCTAAAATGGCTCATTCAACATGACTCAGCACTACAGAAAATGCTATAGAAGGTACAGTCAGTCCTACCCAACAAAATAATTTTAGGAAATACAAATACAAGTTAATACAACAAAAAATTAGGAAATAAAGTAACATTCCAAAAGGTACCTGATATCAGAGACTGAAAAGTATGTATGGAATGCAAAAGTAAATTGGAATGGCTTGCCATCAGCATTCTTATTTTTTATTCGAGATGTGAGGATCAGATCTCCCCTCGGACTAAGAGCAACTTGCAAACGAAGTTCATAACTGCAATGTATGGATAATCAACATCATCAATTTAACATGGGAACAAGGAATTTAATATTTACTAGACACAAACCTGTGTGGCCAGGTCTTCATATCTTCTTCAGACTGCTTGAGTATCAAGTCAATATGACAATCAGAAGTGGTATCTGGAAGAGGAGGACTCTCATCAACACTCCAAAGTCGGTTCCTCGCGAATCCATGCTGTTCAAGAACTCCGTGGTTCCCTAACTGCATGATGGTAATGCTCATTTGGGTACTAATACATTGGAAAAGCATAACTAGACTACTAACAACAGGAGGAGCATACTTGAGGAAAACAAATTTGTATGCCCCCACGAATCGCTTTTGGTGGTTTGAAAGAAGCCTGCAAAGGAAAAAAAATGAAATGCATGATGAAGTGTAGAACAATTGGTCCACAGAATATCCGTTTATCAAAACTAAATATATGAGTACCTTCTTACTGAGAAATAGCTGTTGTTCTCCAGAGTTATTTTTCCAAGAGGTTACTTGGCCTCCATACAAGTATACCTGATAACAAAGAAACCAAGAGGTGTTGAATGCATTTATACAGATAAGTTCAAAAAAATCATATACACAGACACTGGGATTTTATGCCTGTTCAGTTGGATGGATAATCAAGCAACACGGTATTATCCTTATGGTAGGGAAACTGTTACCGATACTTTTGTATTGTACATCAATTCCTCGGAAGCATGCCCTTAATGAAGACATAACTGCTTCAGGACTGGCTCAAGCTCAACTAAATAAGATTATAAACATAGATTTATATGAAGTTTTACTACTGAGGCACTGAGCTAACCAGACAGCAGTAATTACTTCAGACTAGATCACACTTCAGTTTGTACTGCCAAAGCAAAGAGATGGAAACTGGTTTAATGAAACAACTCAAATAAGTATGATGTCCTAGCAATTCTA